GTGACATGGGAATTACTCTTCACTGTGTTATGAGTCAGATTGAAAAAGTATAAACTCATAATTATCTAGAGTGATTTACCCTTTTGATTGAGCTCTGATTGTCAGTGTGATGGGATGACCTATCATGCACATAACTCTGAGCTCCTAGAAATCAATAAATATAATACAATCTTTGGACTGTCCCTTCCTTCCCACTCTCCAAATCAATTGCTTTTTACATTCTGGTTTTTCATGAAAACGTCTACAATGCATTTTACTACCTGTCAAAAGTGAAATGTCTTTTCTTTTTTTAACTGAAGAGATAGTTTTTTGATAACACAATTCCTTTCACTGGATTCACTGTTCATCCCTTGGTTCTAGGACCCCCCACCCCCACCCCAAAGGCTTACTTCGCATGGTATGCTGGGATTAAAAATAAGATATGGTGTAACAATAGAAAATGAGAACCATGAGCGGGATTAATAAAAACAATTAGTTCATACACTATTGATTTTTTCATTTTTCAAGTGATAAGTTGAGTCTATCACAAAACCTCAGTGTGATTCACTCTAGAGAGTAATAAGAATATAGTAGGTTCTTTTAATCTTTTTCTTTCTCTGGGAATCAAAATTCCTTCTCTAATGCTGTGTGTCACACAAATTCTGTCTATCAGAAAGAAAGGTTTGAATACCATTAACTCTAGATTTCTCTCCTGAGGAGGTTGGGCCATCTCATCCCCAAACCTTCATATGGACTGGTTTTCAGGGTTAACAAAAGTTCATCCTGAGATTGCTTGGGCAGCATGGACCTATCCAGTGAGGACTAAGTCCTTGTATCAGCACATAATTGTTTCCTGGTGACATAGCAGGGCAATAGCAGTTGTATGTCCCCTCTGGTAGCTTCCAAATTGTATTGTTATTGGACTTTTCCAGTCTTGCTTTGTATTAGAAATATAAACCCGTAGAGTAAGTATTTTTCCACTGTAAATATCAAGAAATGAATCTTCCCTAGAGCGTAGCAGAAGAATCGAGTCCATTTTACAGCATTGATTTCATAATTCTGTCTTTCTATAGAGCCATTTATTGTAATAGATGTTAGAAAACACATAGTCTTGCTGAAAGAGAGGTGAATTTGGCTATACAATGAGGGTCATTCAATGAAAGAAAGAACAATGAATCTTGAAAAAGCATGCATGGCTCATCTGAGCTGAGTGTGGCATCGTAGATATGTGATCCGTTCACAGCTTGCTTATTAAAGGAGACTGAGTGCTTTTCCTATGCTGTGCGCCATGTAATAGAAAATATAAATGGCAATTGTCAACACTTTTGTGCTCTGTTTATTGATTCAATCAGCTTTCATATATGACTATACAATGTAATTTATCACCTCAATTGATGAGATGAGTCCTTTAAGGAATTCTTATAAAGCAGATAAGCATTTAAAGAGAAAGTTATAAAAAGCAGAATTACAAAACTGCAGGTCAATTTATAGACAGTGATATAATGCCGTACTTTGACTATTTTTCCATACTCTTTTTTTACATTTTTATTTGTTTTCCTTTAAATTATAGTGTTTACCAGAGGTAAGCCTCCCATGGTAAAGTGGATGTTTTATAAAAAAAAAAAAGTTGAGTGGTAAAGATTCAAAACTAAAGGAACCTTGACTTGATTTCTCCTTTCCCACACATCTCTGGCTCTTGTAGATATTCCTACCATTTGATCTGACCACCTCTCATCTATTTCAGGTGCTCTTGTCCCTTCGGATCTGCACCATTGCAATAGTTTCCCAATGTACAAACGATTAATTTCTCTCTTTACTGCTAGTTCATTCTGTCATCTGGTCAGCAAAGCAGTCTGCCTATAGACAGAGTAGATCATGGCTCCACCTGCGCAGAGAATTTCATTTTGTAAATTGTTAAATAGAATTGAATCACTGATGAAATGATGTGGAGACCACGTCTGACTTCCTCCAGTTGCACAATAGCTAGAGGAAGGCGGAGCCAGCAACACATCTGCTTGGGGAAGAGTCCGCTGAGGTAAAGATAAGAAAGAGCTCCATTCTCTGTTCTTCTTCCTGCCACTCTGATACCCACCATGCCTCCATTTCTTCTGGGTTCCATAACCCTTCACAATGGACATAATCTACTCACAGACAGTGCTCACTACTGTGAGGGTTTATGAGGGAAGCTAATCGATTATAATAATCTGAATTATCAAAGTCTAAGGATGCATTCCTCTTGTCCACAGAAGCTCCTCTTCTCAGCCATTCCATGAGGAATTTCCCTTTCTGGTCAAAGAACGCTCTCTCTGGTCCTTAGCCCCCTTCGCTATGCAGCCTCTTTTTATATTATTTATTTTATTTTTAATCGTTTTATTGGGGGTTCATTCAACTCTTATCACAATCCATACATACATCAATTGTGAAAAGCACATTTGTACATTCATTGCCCTCGTCATTCTCAAAACATTTGCTCTCCTCTTAAGCCCCTGGCATCAGGTCCTCATTTTTCCCCTCCCTCCCTATTACCCCCTCCCTCATGAGCCCGCTATAATTTATAAATTATTATTTTGTCATATCCTGCCCTGTCCGACATCTCCCTTCACTCACTTTTCTGTTGTCTGTCCCCCAGGGAGGAGGTCACATGTAGATCCTTGTAATCAGTTTCCCCTTTCTAACCCACTCTCCCTCTACCCTTCCTGTATCGCCACTCACACCACTGGTCCTGTAGGGATCATCTGTCCTGGATTCCCTGTGTTTCCAGTCCCTATCTGTACCAGTGTACATCCTCTGGTCTAGCCAGACTTGCAAGGTAGAATTCGCTATACAGCCTCTTAACTTCTCTTAATCCAGCAGGTGTTACAAAACTCCTTTAGGACTGATAGGTACAAAAGGGCATCTTCCTCTGCAAGACGGCATTCTGTAGTAAGTCACTCCGCCTTACTCATTCTGTGGGCTGAGAAGTCCCTGGCTCTGCTCCTCTGTGCTGGCTCGCCATCTAGGTGCTGTAGCTTCCAGTGGCTCTGCTCTCTCCCGCATCAGGCAAGGATCTCACACACTCTCTGCTGGTGGTCATTCTGTCTTGGTGGTCACTGGGTTCTTGTTCCTGCTGCTATGATGGCCCACTTTTATACTCAGTGGAATTGGAAAACTGAGCAATCTCCAAGTTAGGTCTTCCTTATTTGCATGCTTCCACCCACTCATTTGGTGGAAGTTACGAAGTCAGTAACTAGAAAAACGATAACAGTGTGGTGAAGTAAAACCTCTTTTATGGTTCTTCTAAAGTCTTGTCTCAAAACTAGCAGGCATCTAAATAAGGAGGCAGCTAAGTCCACACAGAAGCATACCAGCCTTGTGATCTAAAGGTACTAAAAAATAAAATCCAAACTTGGAGGAGGGAATGGTATCAAAGCTTAAAGTCTAAGCACCCAGTTTGTGGAAAGTTAAGGATAATAGCAGAAGAACAAAATCTACTTGCAGGTTCCCTATGTGAATTGAGTCCACAGTTTATCTCCACTGGCCAGAGTCTAGGAATGCAGACAGCTTTAATATCAAATAAAGAGCATTATAAAGTGGAGTTTAGCAGCTGCAGTTAGGCTGGATCACAGAACCTTGTTGTTATATCTCTCTTTTGATCCATTTTGAATTTATTTTGGTTTCTTAATTTTGGGTTGTTTTTTTTTTTTTCAATTGAGGCTTTCCTGTTTTAGTTATCATTGTTGCTGGGTTCTTACATGTTTTCTTGTCCATTTTGTTTAAGTTTTTCTGTATAAGGAAGTCAGGATGGGTGGACCTATAACAACAGCAACATGATTACTAATTACCTGGGATGGAAGGGGAGGGGGAGGATGGGGAGTCCACAGCAATGGTTGCAGGAAGTGACGAAAATGTTCCAACGTGCATTCTTGTGATGAATCCAAACCCTTCTTAATATATTCAATTACTGAATTGTGTGATGTGTTAATTATACTTCAATCAAACTATTTAAAAACAAACAAAAAAGAAGAGGCACTTTGAGCAAAAAGTCCATTTGTAATCTGCGACCATACCTAATAAAGTCCATAAACATGGGTGTTGCTATGATTTACATATCGCCATTGCAGCAAATTATGAAAGCCAGCAGAGAAGCAAAGTACCACGAGAGGGATAGACAGCGAAGGCAGGTTTGACCTCTGTCTTGTGACAGTCAGCCTTGGGCTGGTCTGGGGTTGGAGTCTCCCCCTTCTTTACGGAAGCTGGAGGATGTCAGACATGCCCCCAGCCCAGTCATTCATCCCCAAGTAATTTCACTGCACCACAATCCCTCAGCTTTCCAGTTGGAGCTGATGGCTAATCGTTTCCTGATACTATCCAGGACCAGAGAGTATTCCTCATTGCTCACACATGTGCATACAGCAGTACAGAGACACAAGTGCAAACCTACTGTTCTTTCCATTTTGAACACTTGGCTCCAGTGATATCATTTTTAATGCATGCTCATATTTAAGGAATATTCACCAAAATGATCTGCTTTACTCCAAAGTCTCTGTATTCAAAATTCAGAATTAATGTCATTTATATTTGACTTGCCCAGATTAATTATTACTTGTTTCAAACATCATAGTCCTTTTAAATTGTAAACTGCTGAAAGAAAAAGGATCTATCTTGCTGTTTTGGTGTACAGCAAAAGTGCTCCTTGGGGGTCAGGGTGGCAAGACCCCACAGACATTAGACATGTTATCAGGAGGGACCAGTTCCTGGCGCAGGGCATCATGCTGGTCAAGTGGGGGGGCAGCAATAAAGAGGAAGGCCCTCCAGAGGATGGGTGGACACAGCTGCTGCAATAACGGGCTCAGGCGTAGGTGCAGTTGTGAAGATGGTTCAGGACTAGACAGTGTTTCATTCTGTTGTGAAAAGGTCTCTGTGGGCTGGAGCTGATGTGATGTCACCTAACAACAACAGAAAAAATTTTTTGGAGGAAAAAAAACTGAGTTGAATTGATTATATCATGTGACATATAATCACATGTTCCGACTTTCTTACAGGAGCATGGAATCCCAATCAACATGGGCTATGCAGTGGCACCACATCACTCAGGGGTCTACCCAGTTCATATTCAACTTTATGCAGCGTGGAAGAAGGTCTGGGATATTCAGGTCACCAGCACTGAAGAGTATCCACATTTGAAGCCTGCACGGTACAGAAAAGGATTCATTCACAATAGCATCATGGTAAGCTTATAGCGGCACATCCCCATGTTTAATGAAGATAGAGTCCCATTATTTCTAAGGATATGCCTTCAGGCCTTTTTATATCTGTATTAGAATTCTTAACAGACTACAGTGGTGACTGATGACCCACTAGCATATTATCTACTCGTAGGCTTGTTTCTCAAGTACTAGAGTCAATATTGAGAGTCCAAGACCAGCCCCAAAATATTGGAAATGAATTTAATATAGATCTCCATCTCTGTTGTCTTGTGATTTTCTTTTTCTCCTGACTGTGCCTTGGGGTCCACTTATTTTGTTGGTTTTACTGGGTGTTTTCCAGGAAGGGAACCTTTACGGCACAATGGGTTGAATGTTAGACAGCTAACCAAAAGGTAGATGTTTCCATGGAGAAAATGAGGTACTCTGCTTTAGTAATAAACTTCTCATAGCCACAGTAAGCCATGTGATCTGTAAATTGGAATCTTCTCAACACAAAGGGTTTGTTTTTCTTTATATTTAATTTTCACTTACTATATTTTTGACAAACAGAATCAAACTAAGGTAATAGGCATTTTATTTTGGATTTTAGACATTCAAGAATGTTTCAGCTTCTACTTTCTTTCATCCTTTTTTACTTTCCTTTGCCTGCGCAAAGCAAAGAAAGTGCAGAACTGTTGACAAAAGAATCATCTAAGGTTAGAATAATAGAACCGCTTTTAAAAATGAGACTAAAGCCAAGTGCATTGTCTATGGAGTTGACAGTTAGTTGCTAAAATAACAAATACTATTTAGTCAACATACAAGCGTTGGCCTTGAACCATCCACCCCCACTTCGAATGCCATACATCATGTCCTCCTCCTCAGGGATGTAGGTCACATGAAAGGTCTACAAATGCTCTTCTTCAAAAGCTGATAACTTCCCAACCCATTATTCAGACTGTTCTTGTAATTGCCTTACTAAAATTAAAGATAAACTGTGATAGATCGATAGCTATAGATAGATTTATTTAAATAGAGATTGCATACATATCACACATTATTGTTGTTAGGTACTATTGAGTTGTTTGTGACTCACGGTGACCCCCTGGACAGAAAAAATAGTTCCTTGGAATTCGTCTCCCTTTTTTTCTGAATCTCAACTTTATGTAGCATGAGATTCCTCTCCAGGGAGAGGTCCCACCTCTCAGATCACCCATAATATTTTGGACCAAGACTTGCCATTCTCCCTTCTAACGTACATTTTGGCTGCAGCTGTTTCAACACAGACTTTCTCATTCTCCTGGAAGCATGTCATATATTTAATATATTATTTGCCAATAGCATAATACAGAGGAATCAGTTCCTTTTGAATCCTCCTGTTCATTGTCCAGTTTTTATGTATGTATGAAGCAATGGAAAATATCATGGCTTGGATCATGTCCACTTTAACCTTCAGAGTGACAACTGGGTTTTTTAACACTTTAAAGAGAAATTTTGTGGCTGATTAGCCTAATGAAATACCTCATTTAATTTCCTGACTGCTGTTTGCTTAGTGTTAATTGTGGATACACACATGCATACATATAAATATATGTATATAGATAATTTTCAGATTAATTATTTGACAAACTATAGGATTCAAAAATTGTATTCTACCATTTATAGGTCATCAAAACATTTACAATGAACAGCTTTGTCTCTCATCATTTCTGCCTGCCACCTCCGTCCCAGTGATATTGTAGTATTTATATTTTCAAACCATGGAGTTCCTCTGTCCAGGGCAGTGGCAGTCAAGGGAGTAGCAGTAGCACATGGGAATAGCAGTCAAGATATCAAACGACACAATGCATTAGATAAATGTGCTCCATAAGACCTCTTTAGTGTAATAAAAAGCAAGGATGTAGCTTTGAGGACTGATGTGCGCCTAACCCAAGACATGGTATTCTTTATTGCATCATCTGCATGTGAAAGTTGACCTTGAACAAGGAAGACTGAAAAAGAATAGATGCTTTTGAACTGTGGTGCTGGAGAAGAATACTGAAAGTATCATGGACTGTTAAAATGACAAACCAATCTGTACTGGAAGAAACAAGGCCAGAGGACTCCTTGGAGGCAAAGATGGCAAGATTTTGTCTTACATACTTTGTCAGGAGAGACCAGTCCCTGGAGAAGGACATCATGTCTGGTAAAGTGAAGAGTCAACCGAAGACGAGGTGGATTAAAGTGAAGAGGCAACCATAGACTAGGTGGATTGACACAGTGGCTGCATTATCGGGCTCAGCCAGAGGAAGAATTGAGAGCAGGGCTCAGGACAGTGCAGCATTGCATTCTGTCCTACATAGGATTGCTGTGAATTGAAGCTGACTTGATGGCACCTAACAACAGCAGCGTCAAGAATACCTTGTCACCTACCTGATTGAGAAAAATCATATATTTTAAAAGTAAAACATTCCTTTTAACCAAAACAAATGTGTTAATTTACCTTGGATGGCCTACAAACCAATTATTATGACAAATTAAGCAAAGAATAAGAATAATTATAGCTACTCTTTGCCCTTGAAATAAGTTTCTCATTGCATTCTATATAATATATTACTCAAAATAAACTTTTGGGGTAAGATTGCTTACTTTTCCTTCTCCGGTCAACATTTAGATTTAAAACAGAATTAGCCACATTACGTGCTCTGAGCAATCATTCAGTGGTTTGACTTTGTTGTAAGAGAACATCAAGTCTATTCAGACTCCTAGCAACTCTATGTGCAACAGAATGAAGCACTCCCCAATCCTATAAGGTCCTCAAACTGTGTTGTGTTTGAGCTCATTGTTGCAGTCCCTGTGTCAATCCATTTCTGTAACTGTCTTCCCCTTTTACACTGACCACTACTTCAAGGATTATTCTGGCGTTTTCCAGGAACAGGTCCCCTGATACCTTGTCCAAAGTATATCACTCTTATCCCCCAGATACCTTGTCCAAAGTATATCACTCTTATCATCCTCACTTCTAAAGAGCAATCCGGCTAGACTTCTTCCAAGACAGATTTGTCTTCTGACGGCCCATGGTGCATTCAATATTCTTTGTCAACACCTTAATTTAAACACATCAGTTCTTCTTCCGTCTTCCTCTTCACCATCTAATTTTCACATGTATTTGACTTGATTTAAAAGACCATGGTTTTCATCAGGTACACCTTAGATTTCAAAGTGATGTTTTGTTCTTAAAAACTTTATAGAATTTTTGTAGCAAATGTGTCCAAATTCAATACATTTGATTTGTTGACTGCTGTTTTAAATTATTTAACTACCAGAGTGATAAAAATTGAATTGAGTGTAGTGAATATCAAAAATAATAAAGAAAAGGAAGAGTTGATGTATTAGGTGGGAATATTTAAACTGATTAATTTAACCCCAATACTTGAGTACAAAACAAGAGTGTATTTTGAAAACAAAGAAATTAATGACTTAGTGGCATGATAAATGGAGAAAATACTGAAGTTGTCAGGATTTTATTTTATTGAAGCCTCAATTGATGCCCATGAAAGCTGTGGTCAATGAGACAAGAGATGTATTGCATTGGACAAATCTTTTGCAATTCTTTAGTGTCAAAATATAAAAAAAGTATCACTTTGAGGACTATGATACCCCTAATTCAAGCTGTGGTATTTTAAATTGCCTCCGATGCACGGGAAATCTGGGGAAATGAATAGGAAAGGCCAAATGATTGATATAGTTGAGTTATGGTCTTGTGAAATAATGTTGACTATATCATGGACTTCCAGAAAATTAACAAATATATGTAGGAGGAAATACAGCCAGAATACTCCTTAGAAACAAGGATGGCAAAATTTCATCTCAAGTTCTTTGAACATGTGATCATATGGGAACAGACTCACGACAAGGATATAGTGCTTCATAGAGGATCGCTGAAATGTGGAAGACCCTCGATGAGTTGAATTGACCCAGTGGCTGCAGTATGAACTCAAGTGTAGTAATGACGGTGAGGCTTGCACTTGGCCAGGCAGTGTTTAGTTGCACACGGAGACACTTGGAGTGAGAGCCAATTTGACAGCACCTAACAACAAAAGTGATCAGAAATATACAACTTTCGGGAATAGCTGTTTCTGAATTTAGAAAATTAACCCTAGGGTTTGGTTTTGTTTTGTTTTAATGAGCCATAGAAGTTCCATAGTAGAATTCTTGTGTTTTATGTAGGATATATAGTATTTGTTTCTAGTCAGTGCCTCCTGGGCAAAGCACCTGTCAGTAGAAGTTTGCTTGTTTGTCATGGTGCTGAACAGACTAAGATGAACTAGAAAGACCAATGAAAACTGGACATCACATGAAAATCAGACCCCTTAGTTCCACTGTGCATTATTGCTCAAAAACATGTAGTTATTTTTATAACCCCTGAGCTTCTGTAGGCTTGAATACCATTATTTCAATTATCAATAACTTCTTTTGAATATGGGACCTTTACATCTTCTACTACCTACCAACAATCGAATAATTATATTTTACAACTTATGAATATTAAGTAACAGCTATGGTTAAGGGTATGTGCTAGCATTATTTTCCCTTTTAGTGTTAGACAGTTTCAATCAATTTCTTAAATCTAACCCAACAGTTGAGAAATGTTCAATGATTGGCAAATAAATAAAATCAATTAGCCTTCTTGTTATTAATATTGTTACCAGTCATTGAGTTAGAAACTAACTCAATATAAACTAATAATAATTATTAAATTATAAATATATACTAAGGGCTACCCTGCAAAAAAAATGGAAAAAAGATTCGCTGGGTGGAGCTTCATAGTACACCTTTGTCTTGCTAGACAAGCATGCAGCAACTTGTTTTGAGTTAGTGCAACTAATGGCATCACCTGGGACGGTCCTCTTTGATCACAGTGAATTTTACGTAAAAGCAGTTTCACTCAAATCTCTTTTTTGTGTGTGTGATGGCTGACTTAAGAAGGCAGCATGAGGCTGTGAAATTTGTTTCCTGTTCAGGAAAAATGCCCCAGATACTGCTGTGATGTTGAACACAGCTTACATCTCAAAATTGGTGAAATGTTGATTGAGGACAAACCTAATGCTGAATGTTCGTCAACTTTCCGAATGGATGAAAATGTCCAGGGACCATTAAGAGATAGGGAAGTTATCTGGACTATCTTGGAGCTCGGTTCAGCATTTTTTTTAAATCATTTCATTGGGGGTTCTTAACAGCTCTTATAACATTCCCTATGTCAATCGTATCAAGGATATTTGTACATATGTTACCATCATCATTTTCAAAACATTACTTTCTATTGGAGCTCTTGGTATCAGCTCTTCTTTTACCGCCCCCTCACACGTGACCCCTTGATAAATTATATATTATTATTTTGTCATATCTTAAACCAACTGCTGTCATCCTTCACCCCCGTTTCTGTCATTCTTTCCCCTGGGATGAGGGGTGGAGGGCCTCGCTGGGGGGAAGGGGAGGACTGGATTATGCATTGATCCTTGTGATCTGTTCCCCCTTCCTCCCTTCCTTTCCTCCTCCCACAACTTTCCCCCTGCTGCTATCTACTCCAATTTCTATTCCTGAAGGGTTTTTCTGACTGGATTTTGTGTGTTTTATTGTAATGTAAATGTGTAAATGCTCAGCTCTAGCCAGAACTGAAAGTCAGGACTGGGGTCATGACAGCAGGGGGTGAGGAAGCCTCAAAGAACTGGAGGAATATTGTGTGTTTCACTGGTGCTATATTGCATGCTGGTTGACATATCCCTTCCTTGTGGTCCTTCTGTAAGGATATTTACTATGGTCTACAATGGGTTTGGGGGTCTCTGCTCTGAACCCCCTCATTCTCAACAATATGTTTTATTTTGTTTGTTTTGAGTCTTCTGGGTCCCATTACCTGATTCTGTCAACACCTCATGATTGCACAAGATAGTGTGTTTCTTCCATGTGGGCTTGTTGTTTCTCTGATTAATGACTGTTTTTTAACTTCAAGCTTTTAAGACGCCAGATGCTATATCTTTTGACAACTGGGTACCATCATCTTTCTTCACCATATTTGCTTACACACCCATTTAGTCTTCAGCTATCCTATTGGGAGGGTGAGCATCACTGAATGCCAGGTTGTTAGAACAAATTGTTCTTGCATTGAGAGAAGCCATGACCAGAGGCCCGAAGTCCATCCACTTCCTCAATGTATTGCCATATAAATATATGTACCCATGCCAATACCTCGATTTTTATGAATGGATATATTTACATATGTACACATCTATGCTTATACCTCTATCCACAGCTTTGCTTCCTAGATTATTCCTCTGTTTCCTTTTATCTTCCTCCTGCCCCACCATCATGCTCGCCCTTCTTCTGCTTCTTAGGAATTCCCCTCATCCAGATTGCTCCAACTGCTGCTCCAAACCACCAGAAGCTGTCTGTCCTCCACATTGTTGGTTTAATCCCCATGTTGCTCCTCTGTCTATGGTGTTGCTTGCTCTCTGCTTCTATTCCCCACCCCTACCCCTGCCTCCTCCTCCTGCAAGTCCCTCTGACACTGCCAGTCCCCTTGTTTTGCCTCGGGCTTGCATCCCAGGCAAAATAACAATAAAGGAAACAAACCAAAAAAGAAAACAAAAGATTTAATACAAGAAGAAGAATACAAGAAAAAAAAAACTAGCACCCCACCCTCAACACGAAAAAGCATACATAATTCCAGATCTGTCTGCTGACCTTTATGACTATCTTTCACTGGTCCTGGGGGTTCTGCGAACTGCCCCTCCTAGCCTGAAGTTTATTTGGGGGTCTCCTCAAGGGTTTTGTGGCTTCATTTTGCTCCTGTTTTTGATCTGTTATGTTCCCTTCTTGGTTTGCCCTGCTGTGGGGGTGGTAAGACCAGATTCACTCCCTGCTGTGTGTCCCCAGTATTGCCCTCTGCCATGGTACATGCCAGCGAAGGGATATCATATCTAGAGCTTTTGTGGGTCCTACAGTCCTACCTGTGCCTGAGCAGTTCCTTGCAGGGACGTCATCCTCACAGCTTGGTGTGCCAGTGTGCCTCAGCTTCTGATTAACCAGGAAAAAGAACAACAAGTGGAAACATGCCGTGCTTTGAAATAACAGTTTGGAAGAAACCCAGATTTTTTCCCCAAGATCAATACTAGTGAGGAGACATAGTGTTATTTATATTCTTAAGACCCCAAAAGCAAACATCAGTCAAGCCAGTGGAAGATGCCATTTTCATTTTGCTGCCCCAAAAGCTCATTAAGTGAAATCAACGATCAAGATGATGATCTTTTTTTTTTTTCTAATGTGAGGGGGATAGTGCATTTGGAATTTATTCTACCAGGTCAGATTGTTAATCAAGTTTTCTATTTATAGGTTGTTAAAAGATAGCATAATGGTGTGCAACAAAAAAGGCCTTATTTGAGGTAGACAGGGATCTGGTTTTGCCACCAAGACAATTCACCTGCTCACACAGTCATCTCAGTATTCTCCTTTTGGAAAAACACCACATGCCTCTCTTGCCCCACGCACCTTACTCACCTGACCTCGCTCTGTGAGACATATTTTTGTTTCTGCAAATGAAGAGAGACATGAAAGGACAGTGATTTAAAGACATAGAAGAGGTGAATGAAAAAATGAGGGAGGTCCTGTCAGCCATCCAAACAGATGAGTTTGAAAAATATTTCCAAGATTGGAATTGCAGATTTGACAAATAAGTGTAATGTAGAGTACTTTTTAGGTGAGAAGGTTGTTTGTATAAATTTTAAGTACATAGTTTTGAAAAAGAAATCTGAGTTTTTTTGGTACCCCCTCATATACTAAGAAGGCTCTCTACTCCTTTAAAGACTGACAGGCTCTGGAACTAACAGGAGCAGTTCCATCCTGTCCTATTGTGGTAGTTACATAATCTGTTGTAAATTTGAGACTTAAGAGTGAAGGGGTGGAATTTAGCCTGTCAATTAGGTCACAGCTTGATGACCTCATTTGGAGGTGCTAAAGAGATAAATAGTTCACTGGAGATGGGACACATGCTCACTCCCTGGAAGACATTCCTGCGGACAAGACAGGTGGAGCTAAGCTAGAGCTCTGGAGCAGAAGGAGCCACGTGGAGAGGCCCTGCCAGTGCTGAGATGCTTCCTCTGCTACTGAATCCACAAGACCTCCCACCCACTGGCCTGTGATCTTCCTGCATTTGGATTTCATTGCATGTATTGAGTGAGTCTGAAGAGGAATTTATAGATTGGTATTGGACATATGGGCTAATATCGGACTTATGGACCTGATCTGGACCGGGCTGGGATGCTTTCTTAATGTACAATTGCTCTTTCTATAAAGCTCTGTTCTACACACACACACGCCTCTGCATTTGGCTCTCTAGTCTGCCAGACTAGCACAGCCACAGCAAGTTCTAGGAGTTGGAATGGAGCCCATGGCCGCTGAACTGTATCCAGGCCTCCACCTGATGCTGGGATGCAAAGGATCTTTGGGACTAGAGCTTTTCTTTTGACAATCTCACATTATCTTGACAAAGAATCATTTGCATTCTAAGGCCAACAGATAATGGTAACATTTTCAATTATTTCATGTCAATGTGCTGATTTTTTTCCTCGCTCCCTCAGGTTCTCCCGCGGCAGACCTGTGGGTTGTTTACTCACACTATTTTCTATAAAGAGTACCCAGGAGGGCCCCAAGAACTGGATAAAAGCATCAGAGGAGGCGAACTTTTCCTCACCATCCTTCTGAACCCAGTATGTATTCTCTTTATGTTTCATATAATTACACCTGAACTTTAAAGCATATGATTCGTTTGTTTATAATTGAATGTCAACCCGTTCTTCCACGAGAATATATGGTAAATACTACAACTACTGTGGAAAAAGAATGCCGTGTCTCCAAATTATTTACTTTCCTTATGATGCAGAATCAATAAAAACAAATATGTTAAGCATATGTTGAATATGGCAATCAAATTTAACATTTAATGTTGACTTGTATTCCTGTATTTAGTAAGTGCATATTAATTTATAGCTCTTTAGCCAAAAATGAAAATTGACAATTGTACCAATGTTACTGTGGTGTTCCTAAGTTGAGTTGTCTTCTAGCACAGATATTAGTAAATAGAAATAAATCCAATGAAAAGGTATATTAAAATTGTTTGGCTATATTTTAGTTGGTATACAAGACTGAATTTAGATCCTTAAAAAATAATGTAAAATAATTTTAATTGGCATGAAAATTATTTAAATATGAAGTTTTTTCCTTTTATTATTTCAGATATTAATCAAATTCTTTTGAAATGGGCTATATTACTTTTGGCATACATATGTGTACATTTTATAAAAGTATATCATCATGGAAAGTATATTAACATTAACTATTGGGGAATTATTTTAGCTTTCTGTTTTTTCTCCAATAAAAATTGTATTTCTCAATTCTAAGGAAAAATCTCTGTATTTACACGCAGTGCACTCAGAAACCATAAAAGTTTGTCTGATAAATATGCCTACCTCATGTAATATAATACATTTTGTTACACAGAGAAAAATAATCATGGTGAAAATAAAACAAACCTAAGTTGCAAGTATTGAAGTTCCAGGTCAAATGAATGATTTTAGATAATTTAAACATGGCATTTAATCATATATATATATATATATATATATATATATGTTTGGGAAGGATTAAAATGTGGGGATAAAATGTTTAAAGCTATGCATAGTCATTTTTCAAACATCATCTCAAAATACATGGATATTCAATACAAAGCCAAAGCCTGTTGTGTTGATATTGCTAGGCGCCATCCAGTTGGTTTAACCAATAGCAACACTATGCACAAGATAAGGAAATACTGTCCTGTCTTATGCCATCCTCACAATTGTCCTTGTGCCTAAGCCTATTGTGGCAGCCACTGGATCAACACGTCGGCTCGAGGGCCTCCTTTTTGGCTGCCCCTCCATGTTACCATGCTTGATCTTCTTATGCAGGGACTGGTCCCTTCTGATAGCATGTCCAAAGCACATAAGACAAAATCTTTCCATCCTTGCCTCTCAGGAGCACTTAGGCCTTACTTCATCCCAGACAGACTTCTTTGTCCTGCTGGCAGTCCATGCTACTTGTAACATTCTTCTCTAGCACCACAATTCAAATGCAATTAATTGATAAACAATTCAGATTGATTCCTCTTCTGTCTTCCTTACTCAATGTCCTACCTTCCTATGCATTTAAGACAATTGAAAATACCATGGCTTGGGTAAAGCCTACCATAGTCCTCATAATAATATCCTTGCATTTCCATACTCTAAAGAGGCCTTGTGTAGCAAACTTCCCTATTGGAACCCATCTTTGGATCTCTTGACTGCTGTTTCCATAAGACAAAATCCTTGACAACTTCACACTTTCTCCATTTATCACCATGTTACTTGTTGGTTGAATTGTAAGGACTTTGAGTTGTAATCCAGACAGAAGGCTGCAATCCTTGGTCTTCATCAGCACGTGCCTCAAGGCTTCCTTGTTTCCATCAAGCAAAACTGTGTCATCTGCATTTCATAGATTGTTAATAAACTTTGCTCCAACCCTATTCCACCACCATCTTCATAGAATCCAGCTCCTCTGATTATCTGTCCAGCATACAGATCGTTTGGTTAGGATGGCACTAGAATAAATAAGTAGATTGAATGATGCTGAACAAAAACTTCATTTCTCATAACTTGCTTCCCTTCTTGTAAAACAAGCTGCCTGAACAATTATCCATGTGCCTCAAAGGTATTTGCACTGTACATAAATCTGAAATATTCTACTTTTGTGTATATATTATAAACTCGACACTTACAAGGTACCAAGGACATTCTAACAATAATGAAATAAGGCACGTGAATGCTAGCAAAAGCAAATGAAGAGGGAACCTCTCTGTTTACCCTTCCCTCACTAATTGAATATTTGATCTTAGCAGAGGCAAGGGAATCTTTTACTTTTCATTCTGTGGCTCCAATCCTGGCCCCAAGTCTTCCCTAGAAATTGGGATAAGAAAAAATGAATATTGCCTTCCTTAAGTCTCTTGGCCCCAAGTTTAATTGCTTTTATTCTATTATTTCTCTGATTACTTGTGATTAAAGATATGGTTATATCTCTGTTTTTAAATATATTTTTTGAGTTCCAACTTCATAGCCACTAATAGCAATAATCTCATTTACAGTTTAGTCAGAGCCTTGCAGTGGGCCTCTTAAATAAGACAGAGGACTACTTACTCTCTGGTATTTCCATCGGTAACACTGGTGAATTAATGAAACAACAATCAATGATGCTAACCTCTGTTTTAAATTCTGTCATCACAACACAAATTTATTTTCATTGCAAACAGAGCAGTGGAAGAGATACTTTCAGGAGGTTTCTTTTATTCAATGGCTTGTTTTCTTGGTTATTGTGCATTAAAACTAACCTCAAAACAGGATGCATGGGTCAAAAAGAGAAACCGGAGCAGAACATACGCAGTGTACCCAGCAGTGCTAGAGGGTCCACAGTGGAATGAAATCTGAATTCAGGCTTAGAATGTTTCCAAAATGTGTGAGGTCAAGGACAATGTTCCTCACAACAGGAAGAGCCAAACTGTCTAGATCGATGTCACTCATATCTCCCGGAGAACTCACTCAGGAAATCTGGGGGTGGGTAGTGGGGTAAGGGCCAGCTCAAAATGAGGCTTAATTCCTGGGTTGCAAGGGCAGAAGTTACTGGATAAGACATTTAACATGATAGCCTGACTGGAAGTAAGTGAAATTAAATGGGGAACACAGAAAGAAGGAAATGCTGAATGAAGCAAAGAGGATTTAAGTTTATAATTTTGTACAAATGTCTGATCATGAGGAAAGAGAAGCCATAGATGATGAGCTGTGATAAACATTTACCCCGCTAATGTGGTGGAATGAATTATTGAGGCCGCTGGATTAGTTTCCATTTCAAGTTAGACGATTCCATTAACTCAAGCAAAGAGTAAGCCTGCAGGGATATATAGGGAAAGACAAAGCTGAAAGAAAATATAGAACCATGACCCCCCGCTTTCTCTATGCCAATGGTTTTCAACCTGTGGGTGGTGACCCCTTTTTTGGGTCGAACGACCCTTTCACAGGGGTCACCTGATTCATAACAGTAGCAAAATTACAGTAGCAACAAAAATAATTTTATGGTTGGGGGGGTCACCACAACATGAGGAGCAGTATTAAAGGGTCGCGACATTAGGAAGGTTCAGAACCACTTAAGCTATTCTCTCCAGTCATTGCTTAATTCCTCCTCAGAGTAACTAATAGCTCCAAAGTCTTTTACCAAACCAATTCAGAGGAAATTATTTATAAATTCACTGATGTAATGTTATAAATTATTGATATGAATTAATATGCTAACACTGAAGAATATCATATTCTAGCAGAACTCATATCTAAAGATCTATGATCTTAAATATCACTCCAATTATCTTGGGAAAATATGTGTTACTGGTGAGCACACAACTTCTGCAAGATAATTCAGAGAGATAGCCATCTCCTCAACCTATTATGACAACTGACTCTGAAGATGATGTACATGAAGGAGTCCTGGTAGTGCTGTTGTTCACTGAAAGATCAGCCATTGAAATTAACCCACACCCACAAAGAAGACTAGATCTAGTGATTTGGGTAATTATAAAGAGTAACTCCAAACCAAATTCACTGCAGTTGGATCGATCCCAACTGAGACCCACTGACATCTAGTTAACTCTAACCATAGTGGCCTTATATGTGGTTTCTGAAGTTGTAAATCTTTAGGAGTACATAGCCACATTGTTGTCTAGCAGATTGCCTGGTAGATTTTAACTGCGAGGCTTACCTAACAGCATCACCAGAGTACCTCCTAGAAAATCCTACAGGGCAGTTGTGCTCTGTCACATAAGGTCACTATGTGCAATACAGGGTATGGGAGACCCTGTCTCCAAGAATCAGGGTCAGACATGCCTCCATGTTCCATCCTTCACCAACTTGGACACTGACCATTTCTCTCCATCTTTGCTGGGTTCTATAATTCCTTGAAATATCCACAAAGAACTCACAGACAATCCTCACAATTATGGGAGTTTATTAGGGATGTTAGCAGCTCTGGTGGCATGGTTATTGGGTGCTGGGCTGCTAATCTGCCACCTGTGATCAGAAGTTCTAAACCGCAAGCTGCTCTGAGGGAGAAAGAAGGGGCTTTCTACTCCCATAAAGAATTGTGGGTTGTTGGGGGTTCATGGGGGAGGGGCAGTGGGGAGGGAGGGGAGGAGGGGAGGGCCTGATGCCGGGGGCTTGGGTGGAGGGCAGGTGTTTGGAGGGTAGTGGGGGTGGTGAGTGTGCAGATGTGCTTTGCACGGTTGATGTGTGTGTGGATTGTGGTGGGGGTTGTGTGGACCCCTAGTGAAATGATTAAAAAATAAAATAATTAAAATAAAGAATTAGTCTTGGAAACCCTAGGCAGTCAGTTCTACCCTGTCTCAGGGGGTTGTTATGAGTCAGCATATACTTGATGGCAGTGTGTGAGTGAGTATTGGGGAAGTTAATCGGTTTCCACAAGCCTGGATCAGTAAGATCACAATCATTGGTGCAAAGCAACACCTCTCCACAGTTAGCACCCTAGTCCCTCTCTGCGTCTCATCTTCTCAGTCACATAGTCCCTTGGCCTCTGCCCCTGGGGACAAGAGGCTTGCCTGTTGCTTTGTCTTGCAGTCCCATAGTCTTGGTGCTGCTCCTCT